CGTTCGTCCCCGTGACCGTTTGCGTCCCCGTGACGGCGCGCAGCCCTGTGAAGCTTTTCGTCCCAGTGACCATTTGCGTCCCCGTGACGGCGTGCAGCCCTGTGACGGCGTTCGTCCCCGTGACCGTTTGTGTCCCCGTGAAGCCGTTCATCCCCGTGACCGCTTGTGTCCCCGTGACCGTTTGCGTCCCCGTGACCGTTTGTGTCCTTGTAACGGCGTGCGTCCCCGTGAAGCCGTTCGTCCCCGTGACAGCGTGCAGCCCTGTGACGGCGTGCGGCCCTGTGACGAAGGATGCCGGGACACTGCATGATTTGGAGCCGTAGTCGGACTGTTTGGTTCTGCTGTAACATTTTCCTGTCTCTCCTCCTCAGATTCGGGCTCCAACACTGCAGAGTGATCCTCCATCGGCTGGACTGTACAGATAACTTATACAGCACAGTTACACCTGTGTGTGTGTGTGTGTGTGTGTGTGTGTGAGTTTTTTTTATTCCCATCAGGAGAAGTGTGTTCAATTTGTTGAATCATCTTTAATAATAAAAGTTGATGGAAAGCTGCTGCAGACTGTTGGCTCCTTGTCTTTAACCCGAGACCCGGCTGCGTGGTTCTGTTAGGTTCTGCTTGGTTCTGGGTTGGGGTGAGCATTGTCGTATTATTTATCAGGAAAAATTTTCTTATAAAAATTGCGATTTCTTGTCTTAATGTAAAATAAAAAGCAAACAGATTTATAGGAAATAACATTTTTACTATTTTCTCCGGTTTGTTCCTCCAGATAATAAACATCAGAGATGAAATGCAGCGACTGTTCAGTTTACTGTTATAAATCAGAGTTTAAGCTCCTGCTTCTCATGTCTCTGAAAAACAGTATTTGTGTTTGTGGCCCTATGAATACTGTTAGCTACAAAATGAGCAGAGAATATTCTTTTCATATTTTCTATCGTTTTCTCGTACGACAAAATATTCCAATCAATTTCTAAAGCAGTTCAGGTTTTGCTGCTTTATTACAACATCAATATTTACATAATGTAGAAAAACAAACGGACCTAAAGTCCGTTTGAGGAACTGGGTTTGGACCTCCGAACGAGAAACACCTTGGACGATCTCCGGTGTGTCCTGGAGGACTCAGAGGACTCGGAGGCCACGCCTCCTCATAAGTGCTGGGTTCCTATTGGCTGGATCACTGAATAAACTGCAGCTGAAATTAAAAACATTTGGCCGTCTTCATCCTCCTCCCTGCCCCGACCTGAGATGACCCAGCAGCCTGGAAACATGCAGGATGAAGGTCTGCACGTCATCATCACTGCTCCATCAGCTGGCAGCCAGGAAACATGGATGCTGCAGAACATCATCATATAAAGGCTGACGGAAAACATGGACTGGACCTTCCTGATATCTCCTGGAATCAGTCCAGGAAGCGCTGGCAGGCCTTCTTCCAGCGGCAGGGTGTGCACCACAGCTCTCGGTGCTCGATGCCGTAAACCTTCCGACACTTCTTGGCCTCGCTCCGAATCCGCCTGAAGATCAGACACACAGCGGTCAGAGCGCCCCCAGAGGCTGCTGAGGGGATAACGCTATAGAGAAACACTGACCTGCAGGGGGCGCTGTGCTGCTGCAGCCACTGCTCTCCCACGCTGACCGACCGGACCCGGAATGTGGCTCCCTGGAAACAACACAGAGGTCAAAGGTCAGGCAGAAATCACCAGAGCTGCTGGCCCTGCTGCAGTTCCACCTGCCAGCCAGCAGGGGCAGGGCTGCACCAGTAAACCTGACGGCACCAGGAAAAAGCAGCAGCTTCCTGCACTGCTCAGGCCAGGAAGTCAAAATTCACAGCAAATCAAAACTAAATTTAAAGTTGAGAAACACAGAACATGAAATCATGGCAGAAGAAGAAGCTTTAGGAGGTTCTGGATGTGGATGGACTGACACCGCTTTAGAACCAGAACAACTTCATGTTTCCCAGGAAACAGCTGGTAGTTTTAGTGATTTACCTGTCTGCTGCATGTGGTGGGCGGGGCCATCAAACGACAGGAAGCTGCAGGTAAAATCACCTGACTTGGGGGCGGAGCCTAAAGCAAAGATGGCAGATTTAATTATTTTAATAACAAAAGATATGGACCAGCTGCAGCAACTTCAGGGTAAATATCTATTTATTGATTTCTCAGGCTCAAAAAACAAAACAATCACTCGTTAATGAATTGTCAGTCATGCGACTCCCTGTGATAAGCTCCGCCTACCTGGTAGGAGTGCTCTGATTGGACCTGCCAGAAGCTGCTGCAGGGTGAAGGCGCGGAGCGGCTCAGAGCGCTGCTGATGGGGGGTGAGGGGGGCGACGGAGGGGGAGCAGAGGGGGGGCTGGGGGAGGGGGCGGGGCCACAAGGAGGAGCAGAGGGAGGAGATTGACAGAGCGGCTCCTCCCATTGGTTGATCTCAGAGTAGTAAAAGTCTTCCTCGCTGCGAGAGCATCGCTCGTGTTCTCCGCCGTGGCTGAAACACAGAGGTCAAAGGTCAACAACCAATCATTTGTTGCCGTCGGTTCTGGTGGCTTGACAGCCGGGCCTTACCACAGGTGAACCGTCTTGATGTGACGTTTGATTCCCACCACCGACGTCAAAACCTTCCCGCAGGCTGGCCACAGGCAGCGGAACGCCGCCTTCAGGGAATTCTGGGGGAGAAAACGCACCATCACCATCTGACTGCCATCTGACCGTCTGACCGCCGTCTGACCATCTGACCGCCGTCTGACCGCCGTCTGACCATCTGACCGCCGTCTGACCGTCTGACCGCCATCTGACCGTCTGACCAGCTGACCGCCGTCTGACCACCGGCTGACCATCTGACCGCCGTCTGACCGTCTGACCAGCTGACCGCCGTCTGACCAGCTGACCGCCATCTGACCTCCGTCTGACCAGCTGACCGCCATC